CTCCTCTTCTAGCACAGCATAATTGTAACAAAATGTAGTTGGCCGCCTTTCTGGACTCCCGCTTTATTCTGAAAGGCTTACTTCAAGAACTTTATAATGCAAAAACAAAGTTTTCTACCTGTCCTACCTAGACATAAGTGTTGTTAGCTTCCTCTCATCTCTAGTAAGCAATCCTAGACACTGAGGTTCTTTCCAACACTGGCTGTTTTTAAAATCTTAAGGTTCTTTCTAATAATAGTTCACATTTAAAGCTTCTCAAATCAATCACAAAGTTACTTGAAGATGGACAGGGATGGAAAGGTGAAACTTGCAACATATACCCCAGATGCTATATAATCTGTAATGCAACTTCTCACCCAACACGGTTCTAGCTGCACTCCATCCTAAAACTGCTTTGAAAGAAAAAAAATATGTAGGAAATAAATGTATCTTAAAGGCCTCAGTAATCCTATAGCCATTCCTTTCTAGAGTGGTCAATAGACAAATGCTGGGAATATTTCCAGGGTACCTTTCTCTCCATCTGAGGACCAGCAATCACCTAAGCTAATTTACATCGCTAGTAACTCAGGGAATGCTCATTAACATAAAATGCCTTAACTACCTTCACTTTTAATCCCCATAAACTCTGATTATTCATATTTAAAAAATTGTAATAAAGTCAATTCATAAGAGAGAACGTATAACAAAGGTAACCAAGGGGGCTGGGGGCGGGGCGGTGGGTGGACACCGGAATAGGGAGTTACTGTTTAAAGGCAATAGTTTGTTCGGGATGAGAGTGATTCCGCATATGGACAGTGGTACGGGTTGCACAACGCTGCGAATGCACTTAATGGCACTGAACCACATGCGGAAATATGGCTACAATTGTAAATTTCATGCCACAATTTTTAATAATTTGTGGGTAATCATTTGTGCGCCCAACCTTCCCCTCCTCCTCCCCTAGCCGCATCTTTCTTGCAGGTTGACTGTAATGAGGGTGAGTGGGTTCCACGAGGGTCAGAAGACAATGCTTGGAAACTCAACACCAAGGCCTGAAGGCCGGGCTAGAAAAGGTGACGGAGTTTGGAAGCGGGTGAGCCCGCCTTACTGAGTAAAATCGTTCCTTTGGAACACGGAAGAGATGTTTCTTTTTTTATTTTAACCCCCCTACTCTGTCTCCGCGGGTGAGCACTAAGCAGCAGATCCGATCTCTCCACAAATACCTACTGCGCACCTGGGGAGGTGGCCTGGGACTGGCGCCCGGGCCCGAGCGTGGGGCGAGAGGCGGTTCCGACCGCGGCGCTCCCCGCAGGGCGAGGGCGAGGGCGGGGGCGGGGGGACGCGCCGCGGGCCCCCCCTTCCCGGGCCGCCTCGCGCCCTCGCCGGCTCCTACCCGCCCTGGCTACAGTTTGCCCCGCCGGCCGCGCGCCGGAGCCTGCGCGCGCACTGGCTCCCCTCCCCCGCCCGCCCGTCTCGGGAAACGGGGACCCCGGGCGGGGGCAGGAGGAAGCGAAACCACGCGCCCAAGGTCACCCGCCCGGCGAGCGGGGTTCGGCTCGGCGGCTCCGGGGCCCGCGCCGTCGCCTCGCGCGGAGGCCGGGCCTGCGGCCTCTTCGTCGGGGTCGGCCCCAGCCCTGGGGGCCAGGGAGGCTGAGGCCCGCGGCCTCGGAGAAGCGCGCGGCCGCTGGGGCGCCCCTGGGGCCGACGGCGACCCCCGGCACGGCCGGGCCGCCCGCGCCGCGCAGGCCCCGCGGGAAGGCCCGGCCGAGGCCGCGCCGGGGGAAGGCCCCGAGGACCTAACGGGGCGCCGCCGGCCGCAGCGAATGCGCCCGCTGGGGACGGGACGCCGTGAAGGACTCACCCCTTGGGCCCCGGAGCCCCGTTGCCGCTCGGCACGCCGGGCGCGCCGCTCTCCTCCTCCATTTTGGGCTCCGTCGCCGCCACCTCGGCCGCCGCTTCGACCCCTGCCGCCATTTTCTCCGCGTCTGGGCTTTGTGTGAGCGAGCGAGCTCCGCGGCGCTGCGCATGCGCGCCCACGTGACCCGGAGCGACCAGTAACGCCTGCGCGCGCCGCCGCCGGCTCCCGCCCGCCCCCGCCCCGCCCCCGCCCCCGCCGCGCGCAGGCGCGGACGTGACGCTAGTTTTCATTCATTCCCTGCAAAAAACTTGTTCGGCACCTACTGGATTGGAGAAATATCCCCAGCCCCGCCTAACACCCCCCTCCCGACACACACACACACTAGCTCCTAGTCGTTCCCGGCTTCCTGCCATCGGAACTGGGGCGGGGCGGCGAGGACATTTCTGTCGGGGGATTCCTGCAAGTTTTCCTAGAGTATCAAGGAGACCCCCGTCGCCTAAGACTTTCTCACTGACCCCAGCAACCAACACACAGACGCAAAGCTGGGGACTTGGATGTTTCTTGAGTGAATGAACGAGCACAAACCCAAACGTGATGGGAGAAATAAGCTACAGGCCAGGAGACCCCATCACCCTAAACGGGACGCCTTCCTGTCTAAACCTGCAACCCTCCGCCCTGTTCTCAAACCTGATTTCAGGACTGCGTGGAGCAGCCGCCTTGATCCGGCTGGAGGGCAGAGCCGAGGCGTCAGGCTCCCTTCCCCAGTACCTTCTCTCTCTGGAGTCTTTAGAACATTGAAATACCTTACTGGATCTTGCAGAAATTCCCGTCTAACCACCAAACGCGAGTCTCACAAAGGGATTTTTTTTTTCCCTCACAGAATAACTACATTCCATCAGGCTCCAGGGGGTATTTTATCTGCCAAACCCTCCCAACTGCTTAATTCTGCAAGGTGATTTTGATCCAGGTTAAGACCTCCAGGCCCAGAGAATACAGTAAATCCAGCAGCCCAGCCTAATCCAGACACTGAGCCCCACCCTCAACACTAAGTTCCCTTCTCGGCATTATTTCCCAAACAGCCTATCTCACAGAATTTCCTTATCCGCTCATCTTCAAGCCCCTCCTTTTCCCATGCCCCTCCTGAAATCTTCTCTCTTAAATCCCCTTTGTATACCAACACTTCCTTCTGCCATGACCCCACTGAAAACTATTTTAATTCGCCATCCTCCCCAGCAGAACTCTCCTAGACTGGAAGGGCCCCTGGGCCAGGAGCCTCACAAAATTCTGAATCCCCTTGCCCTGCAGAGCACAGAGGTGGGAAGCAGTCAGGATTAGGGAGAGGAATCTGAATCAAAGCTGCTGTACAGGGCCTCCCTGGTGGTGCAGCGGTTGAGCTCTGGGCTGCGAAGCTGCCCACAGCCTCTGCAGCGCCGATTTGATCCCGGCCACTGGCCACCGGCCACCGGGTGAGGGTCCCACATGGCACGCAGACCTCTCCTGCCGGACCCGCTGCTCCCCTCAGCAGTGTATTTCGTCAGTCTGCCTGTTCTGCTCCCTGCTCTGGCTCTGGTGAATTCTCTTACCCTCCCGTACTTCTGACTGTACCCAGTGCTTGTATAAATAAATAAATCTTAAAAAAAAAAAAAAAGCTGCTGTACAAAGAGTCATCTCTCTGATCCCTTTTCCAGTGTGGGTGTGATTGTAGATTAGGGAGGCTGAAAAGACAAAATCTCTTCAGCTTTAACCCAAGCACTGCCCAGATGCCCAGGTTTTCCATATGCTGAACTATTATTTCTTTCACACTTTACCTTTATTTTTTTTTTAATATTTATTTATTTATTTATACAAGCATTGGGTACAGTCAGAAGCGCGGGAGGGTGAGAGAACTCACCAGAGACAGAGCGGGGAACAGAACAGGCAGACTGACGAAATACACTGCTGAGGGGAGCAGTGGGTGGCAGGAGAGGTCTGCGTGCCATGTGGGACCCTTGCCATTGGCTAGGGATCGAACCGGTGCTGCAGAGGCCGCAGGCAGCTTCGCAGCCCAGCGCTCAACCGCTACGCCACCAGGGGAGGCCCGATATTATTTTTCTTTACAGAAGTATATTTTAAATTTTTGCTCTACATCACAGCACATACTGAAAATGATTATTGTAAAAAGTAAATAAGAGGTTGGTGCTATTAAATGTTAAGTTCAGAATGCACGTTGTCAAAGACTCTGAGCCTAGGACTGTTCTCTTTGCTAAGGTCAAGCAAGGGTCATTAAAGACAGTTTGGCACCAAATTTCCATGTAATTGAAAATATCAGAAGAGATATGCAAAGGAAACTGTTTTCTCTTTTCATGATGGCATATCCTGAGGTTCTCTGTATCATCTACAGGGCCACCTCACTCCAGTGTAGGCCTGAGAAAATGACTGCCAGGCCTGTGTGGAGTGAGCAGCTGCAGAATTGAGAAGGGCCCTGAGCACCAGCCAGGCTAATGCCCCTGGCCACGATTCTGTATCTCTGCAGACCATCAGATGCCTACAAGGCCCTGCTTGTCTTTCTTTCCACAACCCCTCTACCCCTGGATCACCCCGGTTCTCTGTGCCACTCTTCCTGCAGGCCACACAGGTTCCCACCTCCAGGCCCTTGCCCTTGACTCTCTACCCCCTCCCCTCCCTTTGGCCTGGCTGGCTTCCCTCATCCTTCCTGTCTGGGACAGAAAAGGTTTTTTTTTTCCTCTGTGGGCAAGGGATTCATGCAGACAGGGATTCATGCAGAAAATAGTACAACATGCCAGACACTGCTAAGCCCATCAGGGATGTGTGACAAGCAACCCCACTACTCTCAGTTTGCTCATCTGCAAATGATTTTAATAAGGGCACCCAGAACCCACCTTTCAGGGCTGCTCTGACTGTTAAATCTGGCCCACTGCAGAGAGCCCTCAAATGTAAAAAGCTCAGAAAATGCTCAAAAGAGAGGTGCTGTTATTAGCATGACCCTAAACTGCTACTTTTCCTGGGTCCTCCTGGTGGGAGAAGCAGAAAGCTCAGCACTGGGTCAACTCCAACTCCATAGGGCTGGGGGACTAAGCCAAAGGCTTCCCACTTCCCTCTGGGTCTTCTCATCTGTAAAACAGACGGACATTACTAGCCACAATAGATGCCTAGCAGGTGAAAACTGTTCTTACGTATATGTACTTTGTAATCATTTCTTATATAACCCTGCTACCTGCCCTTCACTTGAAAACTCCTTTCAGTGTCATAGCAGACCCCCACAAAACCAGTCTCTGGGCAGCCCCTGTCTCCCCACAGTTCCCAGGTTCCTCACTTTGAGACCTCAGTTCAGAAATGTAATTGACAAGTCCATTTTGTCCAGCAAGGGCTCCTTTTATTCATTCGGGGGTAGATTTTTGAAACGCAGTACAACTTGATAAAGTTGAGGGTGCCAAGAAAGCAAGCCTGCCAGGTGCAGAGAATTGCAAGAAGCTTGCGGAACCTCCCAGCCTATGGGTGCCCTCAACTCGCCTCTGGTCACGGCTGCTGGCCCAAAGGGGCCGAGTAGACCTCAGAAAGAGATCAAGGTGCCTGCTCCATCCAAAGCTCAGGACCACATCTATCTGTCCTCCTCGGGTACAAGAGTGTGCAAAACAGCCTGAATGTAGATTCACACAGGATCGCAGAATAGGCTCCGCTCGGCATCTCTTGGCCTAAGAAGCATCTGGCCGTGCAGGAAGGGTCAGGCAGTTTCCGTCCTTCCAAGCGCCAGGGCATTGCTGGCTGCCTCTGGCCCTGCCAGCCCCGCCTTCACACAGGTGTCTCCTCAGCCACCTTCTTCAGGAGTCCAGCTGCCAGTGGGGAGTGCAGAGTGCCCTCAGTGCCGTCTGTGTCCCAGATCTTCAGGCGCACTTTCTGGTTGGTCCTTCTCCACTCGGAGTACAGCTGGCAATGGTAGCGGAAGGAGACCTGGAGGCAGTGTGGAGGTCAGAGGGGGCGCTGGCCAGCCTGCACCCTCAAGAGAGGAAAACTGGGCCCCATAGCACCTACCTTGACCCATACCGGGGCCAGGCTCATGCTTCCAGAAGCAGAGGTGGCATCTGGGCACTGCCACACAGACTGTGCACAATTCACTTGCTTCACTCTCCTGGGCAAACTCCCAGCCAGCATTCAGGGCTCCACTAAGGCAAGAGAGCCTCCAGCAGGGAGGAAGCGCTCTTTCTGTCTCTCAGTAGGTGGGAGTGAAGCGCTAAAGTCTCTTAGAAGGGGTCAAATGTCAATGCATCACGTAATTGCCAAACCTGGGATGCCACCAAGATGTCCTTCAGTACACGAGAGGCTGACTACACGGTGATATAGCCAGACAACGGGATAGTGAGTGCTAAAATGATGGCTTGAAACGAGCTACTGAACCATGGAAAAGACATGGAGGAAACTCACATGCATAACACCAAGTGAAAGCAGCTAGCCTGAAAAGGCTGTCTACGGCGGGCCCAACTATATGGGCTCTGAAAAAGGCAAAACTGGGAGACAGTAAAATATCGCTGGTTGCCAGGAGCTGGAAGAAGAAATAGGCAGAGCACAGGGGATACTCTGGGCAGGCAAAGTCCCTGGCACTCTAAGGGTGGATACAAGTCATGATACATTTGTCAAATCAAGTGGACCCTAATGTCAACTGTGGGCTTGGGGTAATCCAGATGTAGCAAGGTGGGTCTTCAGTTGTAACAAGGTGCCACACTGGTGCCCAGAGGTTAGACTGGGGAGACGGGTAGGGGCAACATGACAACTTGCTACTTTTTGCTCAGTTTTGCCATGGATTTTAACCTGCTCCAAAAAAACCAGTCTGACAGTTTTTTTAATATTTTTTAAAATTAATTTTAAATAAAATTAAAATTTTTAAATAAATGTCCATGGTTCACACCCTTTGGCCAGCAAGTCCCAAAAACATTTGCACTAGTTGTACCCAAAACACTACTCATAAAGGCAATAAAAAGGAAAGGGAGAAAAAAAAGACACTGGAAAGACTCCAGTGCCATCGGAAGGGACTAGCTGAATAAACACGGCACGCCCGTGACTGCTGGCAGCCGCCTTCTTTTCTTTAAAGGACATTAGTAAAGTGCATACAAGCAGCTTGCAAACGGTAGCTACGATAGCTTCGATTTCATCCTATTTGTTGTTGTTGTTGTTGTTTAACACCGGTAGATGCACTGAAAAATAATCGTTGAGGAGGGCAAGTCCCCTCCGCAGGAGGACATTGTTATACCCGAGGGCCGGGCCGGGACTTCGCCCTCTGGCTGCCAGGAACCTGGAACACCAGTCCCACTCCAGCCACTCTCTCCGTCCCAGTTGTTTTTTCTGTGTCTCTCCCCCTCTCCCCCATTTGCTTTCATTTCCCCGCTCTTTCTCTCCAAAGCTTTGAGTCAATCTCCTTTTCTCCCTCCCCAGCCCAGGCCTATCTCAGTGGGCTCAAGATGGCGGGGTCTGCACGCAGCACTGGGGACCAGGAGCCCTTGTATCCGTGGAACAGAAAGGTCACCAGGACCCTGGTGGGGCTCAGAATCTGGGAACTGCAGGACCCTCTGCAGAGACAGGCAGGGAGGCCCCATGCCATGGCCCAAACCCCTGGCCTGACTGCTCCACAGCCAGACCCTCAAGGCCTGTCCCTGGCTGGCAGCCACTCACCAGCGTCCAGAGGACATAGATGGTGAACAGGGCGATGGTGAGGGCGATCAGCCCCACAGCCTCGAGCCTGCTGTGGACCCGGAGGTGGTCCTGGGCCCCGCGCAGGCACAGCCAGCCAGAGATGGCCGCCAGCGGCGTGATGAACAGGAAGCACACCATGTCGCAGCACAGAGTTCGCTTCTCTGTCCGAGGCCCTGGATCCTTCAGCCACTGTGGGGGAGACAGGAAGAGGCTGCAAAGGGGGCTACACTCCACCCTCCATTAGTCCCTGTCTGGGAGCAGGGTGTGGACCTGTAGGCCCCATGCCTCCCTCTGCTGAGGCCCACCTCGATGGGGGGGACCCTGCCGGACCAGCTCCCTCCCGGCACCTCCCTCCAGCCTTTCCTTCTTTCAAATACTTGTTGGGCCTCTCTTGAATCAGGCCTGACTGTGAGGCATTTTTGCCCATATTACAGATAGGGAAACAAAGGCACAGAGGAGCCGACTCCTTTGTGCAAACTCACACCGCTGGTCATCCACAAAGCCAGGACCAGACTCAGGCAGTCTCACTCAGGACTCCGCGCGCCCCAGCTGCCACTCCATGCTGCCTGCCCCAGAGGACGCACCCATGGACCCAGGCTTCACTCATGAAATGATGGTGAAAAGGAAAGAAAGGGTTCCCCACCCGCCAGGATCCCATGCCTGCGAGGGGAGGGATGACATAGGGTGTGTGGTCAGGAGGGGAAGGCCTGGCTGAGGAGGTGACAGGGAGGAAAACTGAAGGAGCCACATGAAGAAGACAGGAGACAGTGCTCTAGGCCGTGGGAACAGCAAATGCAAAGGCCCAAGGTGGTCTAGAGAGGTACAGCAGGCAGGACGCCCAGGCAGCTGGGGCATGAGGACCCAAAGGGGGCGGGGTGCAGGCCAGGTCTGGCTCGCTCTCTCCCAATGCTTTCGTATGCTCCCCGCTTCTGGGTGGGCTGGGGGCCTTTCCAGGGCCGCACCCCTCAGTCCAGTGACATCATCCTGCAGTTCTCAGCCGACCCCTGCCAAGCTGGGCTGGGGGGGAACCTGGAGGGTGTCCAGGCTGGAAATGGCCCTGTCAACCAGATCCATTCCACTAGGGCTAAAGGCTAAGGTCCTGAGCACATGCAACAGAGCCCAGTGTGGCCGCTAATGCCTCCTTCTGGGCCACTCTCCTCCTGCTTTAACTAGCTCCACTCCAGCCACTTGGCTTTCATCAAGAACTCCAAACTTTTCCGGTCCCAGGCCTTTGCACTTGTGCCCTCTGCCAGGACCATCCTTCCCCGGGGTCTTGGCATCGCCGGCTCAGGTCTCAGCTTCAGGGAGTCACCTGAAGTGACCAAAACAGGGAGCGTCATCGGGTCTCTCAGGGCTGGAACTTTGGGCAGGGTTCCCACCCCCATTGCAGATTCACACCTGGGTAGAGAGAGTCTTGAGGGCCACCCAGTCAAGAAGTTGCTGCCCACCCCACTCCCAGCCCCCCAGGGCTGTTTCCTCTTCCAACCCAGCCCTGCCTTCCTCCCCTCTGCCCACTCCAAACTCAGGCTCCCCAGCGTACCTCTGTGAGGGGCCGGGGCCGCTTCTCTACCGCAAACTCCGTGTGGCACAGCTCGCAGTAACTGGTGTTGGACGAGGACAGCCACCTCTCCAGACAGCTTTTGTGCACGGCGCCCAGCGTGCCGGTGCAGTCGCACGGGGACAGCAAGCTCTCCCCATTGGCTCCCTCATGGCAGATGCGGCAGAAGGGGCCGTCACTAGACACAGGTGGAAGGTGTGAGCAACGATCGGCTTCCCGCCCGCAGCGCCTTCACTACCAAGGGGGGCGTAAGCTCAGCGTCGCTGTGTTGCTGCCCAGCAGCTCCTACTCATCCTCTAGCACTGAGTTCCTCGTGTCCTTCCCTTTGGGAAGCCTTCCCAGACCCCCACAGGTAGTGGTGGGGCTCTCCCAGGATTCCTGTGGCAACTTTGTAGGCCAGAGGGAAACACCTCTCCCACTTGCCTGCTCAGTGTCCACTCCTTTTCCTGTAATGCCAGCTGACTGTTTGTCCTGGGTAACCACCCCGCTCTCTATTGGTTCTCAAGGACAAGGGCAGAGCTGGCGACATCCTGGTGACCGCAGGCCACAGTCACAGGGACCGCTCAGGGAAGCACAAGGGTGATGCAATCCGAGCCCTGAGAATCAATTCCTGAAATCGCCCCCTAGTCTCCACCACTCCAGGCAGCAAGGCTGATGACAGTCTGCAGCTGCTGGCGGCTTGGTCACCACATGGACTCTGTGAAAGATGCCACGTGGAGAACAGAGGAAAGTAGTGCTAGGAGGAGGGGGAGGCAGGGACTTCAGGACATCATCAGGGCCCTGGACGCAGCCACGCCTGAAGGCTTCCTGGCCGGAACCCCGTGCTCCTCTGTCCCAGAGAGGGTGGGAAAACAGACATAAAAGACATCCACAGGAAACCACTTTGGGGAAGTCTCAGCCCAGCCCAGTCTCTGGGGGTGCTGGGTCCTTCCTGGGGCAGTTCAGGAGGCAGGGGGTGTGGCCTTGGTGGACCCAGAGGCTGTCCAGCGCATGAGTCATTGTTTTCCAGTCATCTCTGCCTAAGAAAGCAGACTGTGGGAACATACAAGGAGGCGCGGCCAGAGAGCTGTTTTCCAGATAAAGCCAGGGTCCCCTCTGAAGTGTTCTTCCCTCCTTCTCTCAGTCTCCCGTGCTGTGGGGCAGGGCCCAGCTGCTCTGAAACCCGACAGCCCACAGACCCTTCCCGTCTACTTTTTCCTATGTCAGAACACTGATCCCTCAACCTGACACCCTCCCCCACCCGACCACCACCCACCACCACCCACATGAAATAGTAACAGGAAAGAAACTCCTGCTGCGGAAGCCAACCCTGGGAAGTAGAAGTGATGAGAACCTACAGGGAGAATAACGTCAGTTTGGGTTTGTCTCAGAAAAGTCTACCTTGGAAACCCTACCTTGCGAGGTCAAAGAACACAAGCTGACTGACTAGCGAGCGCTTCTGAGGTATCGCGAACTACTACAGCGAGACAACTTGGATTCGTGTGTCTCATTCTCGCAGGGAGCCTGTGAAGACGCGGCTACTTTTGCCCACGTTTTACAGCTAGGACAGCTGAGGCGTTGAGGGCCTAACTCATTCACGCACACTCACGCAGCTGGCAGTCTACAAAGCCAGGATCTAACCCAGGAAATCTCGCCCAGGGCCCTATACCCAGGGCCACTGCGCTCCACTGCTGTCACAGGGGCAGGGCCGCGAGAAATGGGCTTCGCTCGTGACATTCCAGCAGGGAGATAACTCGAATGACACCTATGAGGAGGAAAAGGGGATAGGGGAATAAATGAGACATTCACAGACGCCCACCGGGCTGTCCAGAAAATGCCCCAAGAGCAAGAGGGGAGAGAGTGAGCAGGAAGGAAACAGAAGTCATGGGAAAGCAGCAGCAAGGGGCAGCCGGGAGGAAGTGCTGGGCGTGTAGAGATGCTCCGGGAGCTTCGAAAATGGTCTGGGCCCCTCACGGCCTGGTGGGCACAGCACCAAAGGCTGAGAGGGACCAGAGGGGGTTCAGCTGCTGGCCCCAAGCCTGAGCCTTTGTGGACTGTCCTGAGCTCCAGAGACACTTCCTGAGCCTTCCTTTTTGGCCTTCACAGGTTTCAGGATTCAGAACTTTCTGTCCCACCTCATCCCTGACATATGCCACTAAGAAACAAGTCTGCTTTGAAGCAAAATGGAAGGCTGATATTTAGGGTCATGTGACCAACTAAGGTGCTGGGTGTGAGATCTTCAAGTGCCACCCCCGATGCTCTCAAGTAGCAGAGGCTGGCTAGGGGGAGGAGGTACAGGGTGAGAGAAGGGAGTGTACTGACCAGCTTGCATCACCTCTGCCAAACCCAGGATGTCCCAGTGACAGCAGAAGCATCCTCATTTACTCCCTGGGAGACTGGCCAGAGGGCTCCTTGGAAGGCCCGATCCCTGGATGACAGGTGATGGCCCTTGGGAACAGCGGCCTTCTCTCTAGGAAGGGCTTAGACTGAATTCCATCAAAAGGCAGAGAGGAGAAGCCACTAGCAGAGGCCAGCCGCCAGGGACCTGGAGGCCCTGTGGTTTCAGTGGGTGGGGCCATCCTGGCCATCGGTCAGATCACAGAAGGGTTGACCTGCTGTCCCACACTTGGGTCTTAAAAAGCTGCAGGAGAGGTTTGGTGAGACTGAACAAGCTTCTCCCTGAGTGGGAACCCTAGGTTCAAGCCACACCTCTGCTCAGTGACACTGGCAGATGTCTGCCTCCCCCAGATCTCAGTTTTCCCAAGTTTCAAAATGGAGTGTGGGGCAAGGTGGTCAGCTCAGGAACCCATGGAAAGACACATGAGCTTCAGGCAGCCTCCTCCCTGACCCCTACTCAGCAGCCCTGCCTAGGACACCCCTGGGCCCACCAAGGGTCCCTGCACTTCCAGCCTGGCTAGGCCATCGCAGAGGCCATCCTGCCTTTAAGGTATCTGATGTCGATAGAGACAGAAAAAAACAAAACCCTAGAGGATGCCCAGAGGCCTCCCAATCTCCTCTGGGCTCTGGAAAGGCGTCTTGCAGGAAGTGACGCCAGGCAAAGACTGAGGGGATGAGTAGCAGTGAGCGCCCTCCAAAGCACAGCAGTTTCCATCTGTTCCTTTTTATGGCTGAGTGAAAAGTTTATGAATTTATTCTGATACATGCTACAAAATGGATGAACCTTGAAGACACTATGCTGAGTGAAATGAGCCAGACATAAAAGGCCAAATCATATGAAGTCCCTAAGTTGTCAAATCCATAGATACAGACAGCGCAGGAGGTGGCAGGTGTGTGAGTGTATGTGTGTGTGTTAGTGTTTAATGGGGAAAGAGTTTCAGTTGGGAAGATGAAAAGTGTTCTGGATAGGGAGGGTGGAGGTGGCTGCACATCATGAAAGTACTTAATGCCACCGGACTATACACTGACAAATGGTTAAAATGGTAAATTTATGCTATGCACATTTTAACACAACCAAAAAAGAAAAAAAGTTGGACAAAAGAAGTTTGTGGATGACATCTTCAAGGTATGGAACTGACCTAAGTGCCCTTAAACAGACGAGTAGATGAAGAAATGGTGGAATACTACACAGCTGTCAAAAAGATGAAAGAGTGTCTTTTGGGACAAAATGGATGAACCATGAGGTGATCTGTTAAGTGAACTAAGTCAGAAACTGAAAGATAGATATTGGACAGTATCACTCATCTGTGGAATATAAATTAACCAAAAAATATACACAGGCAAAATACAGCAGGAATAAATGTTGGACCCAGTGAAAGAATTTAAAGGTTACCAGAGGGAGCAGGGGGAAGGAACATGGTGTGTTTGTGGTGGGGGGGGTTGGCACCAGTGATTTGGTGGCAGGTGACTGGGACATGTACACAAATGGAGCAGCAAAAATGTACCCCCAAAAGTGAAACAAAACAAAGTTTGCGAATTAAAGCAAACATAAAGATAATGACAACACTTCAAACCTGAAAAACTGGTGTCTAAATTGTAGAGCGTTAAATGGATTTAAATCTGCACAGCACTTCCTTACAACTCACCCTCTTGGAACTGTGGACAAAGTGGTGAACGGGGCAGACCCATGTCACAGACAGGCTGAAAGGCGGTGCCCAGGCTTAGCCACGTTTACCTAGTGCTGATGACGTGGCAAAGCTCCTCTCCGGCACTTGATGTAAACCATGGCAACGGACTGTCGGAACAACTCATAAGGAAGGTGGCCCCGTTTCAGACATGTGCAGATGAAGTAACTTGTCCCAAGCAACACAAGGAGAGAGGCCTACACTCAGGTTTGAGCCCAAGTACCTCAAATGCACCATCTACAAGCCTAACGCTTCCCTAAATGGTCTCCCCAAAGCACTAACAACTGGGCAACACTGCAGCTTCACAGTTTACGTAATTATCTGGAATGTCACCTTCTCTTGAAGAATCCAACCTGCAACCTGCACGTCCACTCCCAGTGGGGACCACTGTTTGGCTCCTTGCTCTGGCTTATGTGCCCACCTCTCCCCTCTAGAGGGGTGGATTTCTAAGCCCGCACTGGAAGGAAATCACTTGGCCCGGAGAGCAAGGGGGCAAAGGCAAGGTCACCTGCTCAGTCACCACTCACCTTGGCGTGTCCAAGGCCCGGATGACGGTCGAGAGAAGCCGGCCGTCCCTAGAAGTCACCTGCGCCACATACTGGGGTGGCCCAAGGCCAGTGGCCTCCACAACCTTGGAGAAGGCGGGGCTGCTGGAGCAGTCACACAAGGACCCTGGGAGGTGGCAGCAATCACCGGTCGTCATGGCCACAGGGAGCCCCAAGTCCTCAGGGCCCGAAGCCCATGGTCCCAGGGGCCTGGGGAGAGCCCAGCAGGGAAGTTAAGCGCAAGGTCAGCCAATTGACAGCCTGGGTCTGACTCCAACTCTTGGAGCTTCAGTCGCCTGATCTGTAAGAAAGGGTTTGGAGGCAGCTGTGAGGATTCACCGTGACGACACACACAGCTCGGGCCACAGCAGCAGGTGGTGCTATCTTTAAATCCTACCAGAAAAGCAAGCCTGGCCAACTCCTCAGAGTTTGCAGCCCACCCCCAATATTACCTTTCCAGATGGGGAAACAATACCTAACAGTTAGTGAGCACCTACTGTGTGCCAGCCCTGTCCTTGGAATCTCCCAGGGCCACAACCGTGTTCGCCAACCACATAGAACTTGCTCTGTGAGGACGGGCTCAGAGCACACACGCCTGCCTGTGGGTGGGGCAGAGCTGAGCCACAGCTTGGCCTACAGGCCAGGGCAGCCTCAACTTCTTATACCACAGGCCATGGAAGAAGTGGTCCAGGCTGGGGGGCACTGTGGCAGCCCCTGTCCCTAAGAGAGTCAGTGGGAGCCTTGGCAGCGACCTGAGTCAGCCCTGGATGACGTCAGCAGGACTCTGTCCCCCACCCCCGGGTCTGACCAGCCTATGGGACTCTTGGCAACTCCTCTTCCAGCCAAGCAGCAGCCAATGAGACTTCTGTGTCTCCCTCTGAGGACATTATGAAAGTCACAGAGGCCTCTCTAGGTGGCCCCATGAAGTCAGTGTGGGTGCCCCAGAGCCAATGCAATACAAATACCCCACTTGTTTCATCCTCGGCCCTTTGTCTCCCAGAGAGGATACCCCATAGTCAGCTTCCACCAGCACCTGCAAGTCGAAATCTGAGGCCCAAAGGAGAGAGGGGAGCAGCTTAAGTTATTTTTTTTTTTTTTTTATAGAGGCATTTTTTTTATTTATTTATTTATTATTTGTTTGTTTTGTTTTTTTTTGTTTATACATGCACTGGGTACAGTCAGAAGCGCGGGAGGGTGAGAGAATTCACCAGAGCCAGAGCGGGGAGCAGAGCAGGCAGAAGGACTGAAGTACACTGCTGAGGGGAGCAGCGGGCGGCAGGAGAGGTCTGCGCGCCATGTGGGACCCTCCTCCGGTGGCCGGGGAGCAGCCGGGGATTGAACCGGCGCTGCAGAGGCTGCGGGCAGCTTCGCAACCCAGCGCTCAACCGCTGCGCCACCGGGGAGGCCCACAGCTTAAGTTATTGACCAACTTTTTGCACCAGGGTCGGCCCCGTCAGATCAATGGCCTCTGAACAGCTGAGCCAGCAGGCCTTCCCAGCCCAACATGTCTTCCCAACCTCCACAGTTGGGCGCCTGCAGGCCAGATAAGCAAACATCAGCCCAGAGGCAGGAGGAGCCCAGGAGGAAGGCTGCAGGACCAAGATAACGTCCCTGGGGCTGTGACCAAGCCAGCAGCATGGTGGATGCTGCCGTCCTCCCTCCCGAGTGCCTGCACCCAGAACGCACCCAGAACGCACCCAGAACGACCAGCTCAGGGCTCAGAGATGGGCTAGGAAGCCGCTGGGCTCACCACGAGCATGCGGGAATGCAGGCAGAGGAGACTCCATGCCTTCTACCCCTTCAAGGATCAGTCTTAACATTTCTGCAAGTAACTGGGCATGAGGACAATCATCACAACTCCTGCACATCAAGTTCAGCTGCTTCTTTTACTACTTGGGGCAGGCGGGTGGGTGGGCAGGGAGGAAACCACTGTTAAATCTGCTAATGCAAAGTCTACAAGTAGCCACAATAGTAATAGCAGCTACTGTTTATTAAGAACCTACCGCATGCCGGGCACTCGCTAAGCTCACTGAACCCTAAACAGTTGCTCCAAGTGTCCTCTTCAAAGGTTACCTGCTGGAGAAGCCTCCCCTGACCACCCTGGCCAAAATGTCTCTGCTGTCCAATTACTGCCCAAACTGAATGTACCCCTCTCTGAATGTTCTTTTTTTTGTTAATCTACTTGTTTAACCACATCTACCTTCCACTCTTCCACAAGCCCTGCAAGGGGGCGGGGGGGCTGGCTTGGACTTGCTTGTTACCCTCCCCAGTAGCTAGCCCTGTGTCTGGCAGAGTCACTGCAATAATTTCTGAGCCTCAACTCTGTGTAAAAGCAGGGTAAGGGGCGCAGCGGTTGAGCGCTGGGTTGCGAAGCTGCCCCGCGGCCTCTGCGGCGCCGGTTCGATCCCCGGCTGCTCCCCGGCCACCGGAGGAGGGTCCCACATGGCGCGCAGACCTCTCCTGCCGCCCGCTGCTCCCCTCAGCAGTGTACTTGGGTCCTTCTGCCTGCTCTGCTCCCCGCTCTGGCTCTGGTGAATTCTCTCACCCTCCCGCGCTTCTGACTGTACCCAGTGCATGTATAAACAAACAAACAAACAAATAAATAAATAAAACATGCCTCTATTAAAAAAAAAAAAAAAAAAAGTAACCTCCCTATTTAAAAAAAAAAAAAAAAAAAAAAAAAAAAAGCAGGGTAAGGGAACTAGGTCTCTTGCCCTCCCTACCCCGGCCTCCATGGCGGCGATGAGAGAGTTTTAGAGATTAGAGGCCCATGCAAACCAAAGAGTCCTGGGGGCCTCCCTGGTGGCTCAGGGGTTAAAGTCTCAATGCTATCAAGCTATTGCCAGCCACTGCAGCACGAGTTCAATCCCCGATCCGGCAGGGAGCAACCCACATGGCGTGGCAGACCTCTCCTGTCTCCTCACTGCTCCCCATCAGCAGTGTATTTCGTCAGTCTGCATGTTCTGTTCCCCGCTCTGTCTCTGGTGAATCCTCTCACTCCCCCACACTTCTGGCCTGCACCCTAGCTCTTGCATGCATAAAACAACAACAACAAAGAAGCCCGGACTTGGAAGATGTCAAACTTGCGGCTGGCGCAAGGAAAGGATGGCTACAGACTAGACTTAGCCCTGGAGCTGCTGAGATGGAAGAGTGAGCTAATGCTTCAAGCAAACTTGGCCCTGTGCCCAGAAAATGGATTTCAGCTAGTCTTCATAACAAACATACACAGAAGTCCAATAATTACCACCATTTGACAGCTAAGGAGACTCAGGCTCAAAGAGAGGCAGCTACTTGCCCAAGGTCACACAGCTAAGATGGGACTGTGCAAGAATTTGAACTTAGCCCAGTTAGTGGGTTCTTTTTTTTTTTCTTTTTTATGTTTTCATTTATTTATTTGTTTGTTTGTTTGTTTGTTTATACATGCACTGGGTACAGTCAGAAGTGCGGGAGGGTGAGAGAATTCACCAGATCCAGAGCGGGGGTCAGAGCAGGCAGAAGGACCGAAGTACACTGCTGAGGGGAGCAGCGGGCAGCAGGAGAGGTCTGCGCGCCATGTGGGACCCTCCTCCAGTGGCCGGGGAGCAGCCGGGGATCGAACCGGCGCCACAGAAGCTGCGCGCAGCTTCACAGCCCAGCGCTCAACCGCTGCGCCACCGGGGAGGCCCAGTTAGTGGGTTCTTTAAGTCCTGACTGTCATTGATGCTGTGTGTCATGGGACAAGTCACTTTGCTTCTCTGGGTCTCATCCTTCTCCTAGGTCAAATGAGTTGACAGAGCTGGTGGATAGTGTCTGCTGAGGGGCTTCGTGAAAAGGAGCCCCATAGCTCAATTCCACCAACAGAGCTCATCCTTGGCTAGACCTGTCCGGGGGCATTGGGGCACCTCAACATTTCCACACCAGCCTAAAACTGAGGCAAGAGGAGTCAAAGGGCTCTAATTCCCACAGTTTTGGGCAAGCTGTTTTACTCTCTGGGCTTGTTTTCTCATCTGCAAAATGGGGGACAAGGCTTCCCTGGTGGGACAAGGGGTTAAGATGCAACCTATGAGGCTACCCAGAGCCACTGCAGCACGAGTTCCATCCCTGGCCAGAGAGCTATCCACATGGTGCAGCAGACCTCTCCTGACTCACCCGCTACTCCCCTCAGCAATGTATTTCAGTCAGTCTGCCTGTTCTGTTCCCCACTCTGGTGAATCCTCTCACCCCCCACCACCTCTGGCCTTTACCCCAGTTCTTGTATGCATAGTAAATAAATCTTTAAAAAAATAAAATAAAATGGGGGACATAATGATATGCAGCTCATACATCTGTAAATATTAAGAAGTTGATGAGTATTAGCTCTTGTGATAATTAGTGTCATTAACTTAAAGAGTTGTTGGGAAAGTTGAATGAGACAAGACACAACCAGTACCTGGCAAACAGCAAATGCTCAATAAACTATAACTTGTTTTCTAGGACAAATGTGGAGCCTGTGAAATTCATTCATTCCGCTTCTCTCACCAGAAGCCCCCCCCCCCCCGCCCCTCAGTACTTCCACCACCCTGTACTGGAGCCAGGTCCTAACCCCAGCTCTGCTCTTTATTGCTGTGCAGCCCTAGGGAAAGCACTCTACTTCTCTGAGCTTCAGTCCCCTCGTCGGTATAAGAGGGAACATTTCCTGCATCTATTTTTGTCCCTAGAGAACCAAATAAGCTAATCATGTAAATTCTGGCTACCCCATTTTTAGTTACCCAGGCACACTGCTAAACTAAGTCCTTGGCACACAGCATCTGGCTCACTATAAAAGTCACTGTTTTCCGGCAGAGCCCCTGGGAGAACGCGGCTGGGGAGGACGCGGCTGCCCACCGGCCGCCGGCACGCAGGGCGCCCTCCTCCACGCCGCCTCCGGGCCCCCAAATAGCCCCACTGCTGGGCGCTGGGATGACCCGGTTTCACAAACAGGGAAACCAAGGCTCGGGGGCAGCTCCTGTGCGCGGACCCCCGGGGGCCCCCGCCGCCCTGGAGGCGGGACGGCGGTGCCCCGGTTCCGAGAAGGGCTGAGGCCGCGGGTCCGAGCCCGGCCGTCCCGCCCGGGGGGCGAGGCTCGGGCCTCGAATCCCGGGCCAGCCCGCCTGCCCGCACCTCTCCCGCCCCCCAAGCGCCGGCCCGTGCCTACCTGCCCCACGGCCGGGCCGGGCGGCCGCGCAGGCGCCCCCGCTCGCTCTGGCCCCGGTCCCGGCCCGGCCGGTCCCGCCTGCGCTGCCCGTACCGCTCCGGCCCGCACCTGCGTCGGGACACCGCCCGCAGGGCCACTGGGCCGCCGACCAATGGCGACCGCGTCTCGCCAGCATTAGCCAATCGCCGTGCACGTCCCGCCTCGGAAGGCGGGGCTGGAGGCGGTAGGGACGTCCTGGACCGCACGGCCCCGCGGCGCCGCAGCTGCTGGCTCCGCCCCTGCCGCGTCCAGGCCGCACCCCCAGGCCCGGCCCCGCCCCCAGGCCCGGCCCCGCCCCCGGCTCGGGGCGCGAGCGGAGCTGGTGGCGCCACCTGCCGACGACTGGGGATTGTTCATAAAACCGTTAGCGCGCGCAGAGCGACACCCCGCACAGCGAGGTGCAGAGTTGATCGCCTCCCCCGTGGGTCCCGCAGTCTTGGGGTCATACGATCACATGTTACAAGAAGAAACAGAAGCCTAGAGAGGTTAGCGTTGTCGACTAAGATAAATATCTTTGCCCTCATGGGCTTCAAGCTAGGCACTGAGACATTAAACAACAATTTGCATTTGTCTAATGTTGCCTCAGGATTTATGCATTTGGCACAGGAATTGCAAAGTGAGATTGTGTTCTTAGTGCATGTGTCAGGAGGCACAGGATGTTGATTTCTTCTGTTGTCGATTATGCCAACTTGGTTAAAATGATGTCTGCCAAGTGTTGCACTTGTCAGTAAGTGCTCTATGTGAAAATACTTTGAAACTAATTAAATATCCTTTTCTTCAATAAACTTTCGCCCACCTGATTTAATGTCCATTGATGAATCTAGGCTTGGTTAATTTTTATTGCTGTTGTTGGCTTAAACAGAGAGTTTTATTTTTATAAGAATTCTGGAAGGGGATAGCTGCCGCCATTGGCTTGGTCAAATAATCATAACGTTAATGACTCTGAGATTCTCTTGGTCATTTTCTCATGGTGGCAAAATGGGTGCTGTGACTCCAGGCATCACACTCTCAGTCAAGGCAAGAAGATTAGAAGGGGAGAGGGGCATTAGCCATGCCTGTTTGTTTTTTCTTTTAATCAGGTAACAGTTGCCAGATTATGATTTTTCTAATTCTGTCTTTGAGCACTTCTCTATTACTGGCTCAACTGGCTTACATATTTATTTACTGCCTCAGTAAGGTATTCCATGGAACATTTTCTTGAATTTTTACCTGCCTGAGTTATGGAATCAACCATTTTCTGAAGAACCTTAATTTATTTGAGTGGAGAATTATATTTAAAGATGAAGATCTGGGTGTCAGTGTGTTCATTGCTACCACAGTATCATTAATTCTTGGTTCTCACATCATAACATGTGTAACTCTCACTACATCCAAGCTTCTGTCTATCATCCGTTTCTATCTGTGTATCTTTAAAACCAGGTGCATAGCATTACCTCTAATTCTAATCTAGTATGAAGATTTATTGCAGCCTCTGTATGGGTTTGTAACTTCCTTTCCTTTGAGAAATCTGGCTCCATGGTCTTCAATGTATTTACTCATTTTTGCACCAACCCCTCCCCATGTGTAACCAAACTCTGAGATAAGCTGGTGAAGACTCAGCTCTGGATGCACTGCCTCCTGCTCCATCCCACCCCCATTGGACACACCAGTTGAAAGCTTGCTCCCAGCAAAGAAGCTAAATCCATGAATTTTAACTAGAAAAACTAATCTTAGTCACTTTTGAAGGCAACTTAAGGTCAATTCAAAGTCTTGAAAATTGTGAAATCTGAAAATTGACAAGCAAAGAAAGAATTAGTGTTTATGCTCACTTATACAATCTGTACCTCAGGGTAACCACACAGACAAGGTCTTCTCTTCGTAACAGTATTCCGGGATTAAATGGAATTTAAACATCACCATTTAATAGGCCTTGATGACTTTTGAAACTAGATGATGCTTTGCAGCAGCTAATATCACAAATGAGAAACACACTGACATTATCTGTCTCCTAGTCTATGCACATAACTTACAAAGTGTTCAATACTAAATTTGATGGAGCTTCTAGATCTATTAATTTACAGGAAATGCGAGGGACAAAATAATGACATCATTGGTCTATAGAGAGAGAAGTTATTCGTGGCTACTAGAGGGAGGCTGTAGGAGGCAGAAACAGGAAATGATTGTTTAATGGGTACTGCGTTTCTCTTTGAAGTGGTGACAAAGTTCTGGATTAGGTATGAAAATTGCGTAACATCATGAATACACTAAAAATCACTGGACATTTTAAGCTGTTACATTGGTCAATTTTATATGCATGTCATCTCAATCTTTTTTTTTTTGTCTGCTTTATTGTAATTTTTCTTTTTATTTATTTATACAAGAACTGGGGTACAGGTCAGAGGCACTGGAGGGTGAAAGAATTCACCAGAGACAGAGTGGGGAGCAGAACAGACAGAGGACCGAAGACACTGCTGAGGGAAGCAGCGCAGAGGCAGGAGTGGTCTGCCACACCACGTGGGAATCTCCCTGGCCGGCCGGGAATTGAACCCGCGGACAGCTTCACAGTGCTGCGCTCAACCCACTGCGCCACTGGGAAGGCCCATATCTCAATCTTTTAAAAAGCAAAATCCAGACTGAGACATCCCAGTGCAAATGATCCTTATTAAAAAAAAAAAAAAAAGGCAAGAGAAAGGAGCAGCTCTGGTTCAGGCTGGAGAGACATCAACCAATTAGAACAAGTGAACTATGGTACTGAGTCAAATCATTAAAAAATTACTATAGGGAGCTGCGAAGTGGCTTGTTATTTGACAATTCTGAAGAGTAAGTGTTCCTCTTTTTAGGTGTGATAATAGTAGTGAGGTTATGTTACCAAAAGAAGTCTGATTTCAAGATAGCTACTGAAAAATTTAAAGCTGGAGTACATTTGGGACAAGTGGGCAGTGATTAGGGAATGCAGATGAATCTAGATTAAAGTAGATGATGGGCAGATTATTCTCTTTGTCTGTGTGTGTTTTTTTATAATAAAACCGAAAATTTAATTTTGGTAACTTCTTTAGTCTTCCTTCATTTAGATGGGGTTTTCTGGCTCAAGTCAGGCACTCAATACTCCAAGAGATGCCCCAGGTTAATAGTTACAAATACAGGGGCCTCCCCGGTGGCGCAGCGGTTGAGCGCTGGGTTGTGAAGCTGCCCGCAGCCTCGGCGGCGCCGGTTCGATCCCCGGCTGCTCCCCGGCCACCGGAGGAGGGTCCCACATGGCGCGCAGACCCCTCCTGCCGCCCGCTGCTCCCCTCAGCAGTGTTCTTTGTCAGTCTGCCTCCTCTGCTCCCTGCTCTGGCTCTGGTGAATTCTCTCACCCTCCCGCACTTCTGACTGTACCCAGTGCATGTATAAACAAAACAAATAAATAAATAAATAAATAACATGCCTCTAAAAAAAAAAAAAAAATAGTTACAAATACAGCTCTGGGTTGAAACTGCTTGCTTTTAATTGTGGGACAGTTATTTCTGTCTCTCATCCATAAAACGGGACTAGTAAACTATGCCTGTCCTCCAGGGCTGTGAATACTAAAAGACATGTTAGAGACTTGTTTTTTTGTGGACCTATGTTGTCCTCTTCATGTCAGAATTTATTCAGGTTAACAGGGCTTCTCAATAAATTAATCAAAGAATTACTGTCTGATCCAGCAATCCCACTTCTGGGTATATATCCAAGATTTAAAAGTAGGATTTTGAAGAAGTATTTACAAATCCAGTTCCATAGCAACGTGATTCACAGTAGGCAAGAGGTAGAAGCAACCCAAGTATAGCAGGATGAATAAACAAGTGCAATGGTCGTGCGATGGAATATTATTTGGCCTTAAAAAAGGAAATTCTGATACACGCTACATGAAGCTTGGAAACATCTTGCTCTGTGAAATAAACCAGCCACAAAAGGACGCATATATACGATTCCTTTGATCTGAGGGGCTTAAGAGCCAAATTTATAAAAATTAGAATGGTGGATGCCACGGGCTTGGGGTGGGAGGGATGAGGAGTCAGTGTTTAATGGGGACAGACTTTCGTAAGATGGAGTGTTCTGGAGATGGATGGCGGGGATGGCTGTACAGCACGAAGGGACTCAACGCCATGGAACTGTGTACTTAAAAATGGTTAAAATGGTGAATTATGTGTACTTTCTCCTTAAAAAAAAGACCCAAGAACAGGGCCTGGCATAGAGCGAGCAAGCTTGCCTCGCTGCTTCACCTGGCTCTCCTGAAGCCCTAGCCTGGCCAACCCCTGGGGAGTCAGTGCCCTCGCGGTGTGTGTGCACAGGCCAGGAGCTCCAAGTCCCCCAGACTCCAGCCAGACTGGGGCAGTCACCCTGCTCACTCTACTCCCATCTGAACAGCCCCCCGAGAAATGAGTCTGGGTTTGCGCATTCCTCCGGGCAGGGTGCCGAGCCTGGGGTCAGCAGGATGGACCTCCCTCTTGGTGGCTCTCCTAGATGGCAAGGGCACAAGTGGCCTCTTCAGCCAGGGGCTAGAGCTTCTAGAAGAGCTGCCAACACTCTGGTGAGAGGATACACACTGGTCAAGTGGTCAGTGCAGGGGTTGGGGAGGCCAGCAAAGGTCTGGGCTAGGGGATGACACTCCCTCCTCCACAGTGGGATGTTGCTTTGGGGCCGGCCCTGCCACATGCACAAGGGGAGAAGCTGGATGCTGGGGAGTGGCAGAGGAACCCCAGGCCACCTACCTCCTCCTCACTAGTGTCCCCCCAGCGGTCGGTCCCTCCTCAAAGATCAGTCTGGAATGGAGACAACTGAGTGAGGCCAGCATTGCCAACATCACCTGGGTATGCCCATTCCTAACCCTGAGACTTGGAAGGGGAGCAGTGGCACAGGTCACCCCCTCCAACGGGGTACCCTCCAGTCCCAAGGCTAGTAGGTGGTTGCCAGGCCAGGGAATATAACATACACTGCCAGTCTTCCCCACCTCCTTGCCCCAGGGGGAGCTTGGAGAGGGCCCATGCCACCTGGACCCCCCTGGTCAGCTCAGGGGCTCTCCACATCGTCCTGGGCAGGGCTAGGGCTGACAGTCACCCTGGGCCCTGGCCTGGTCTTTCAGCTCTTGGAAGGCTGAGCTGGGCAGAGGCCTGCAGCAGGGCACAAGCGGCAGGGTCCTAGGCTCAGAGTGGCCACCTGGCGGAGAGAAAGAAGACAAAAGGCGCAGCGGCAGGTTTCTGTACAGGAAGTCGGATTATACATTTTAGTAACGGGCGAGAGAAATGAGGCAGGGGCAACAGTGCAGGGGCCACAGGGAGAATAAGAGATCGAGAGCTAGGGTTTGGCGTAAATCTTACAAAGTGTATAAAGAATCTGTGTTTCTCTACAATAACAAAAAAACAAAGGCTACAAGAGCAGTTATATATACAAAACACGGAGATATTGCTTCACTTGCAAACGGGTTCCTGACCAGACAGGGAGACAAGACAGAGAGGAGGGCACAGGGAGAGTGGAGAGCGCGCCACGTGCAGAGGAGGGGAGGTGGGGAGAGGGTCTCTCCCAGCTGAAATCTACAGGCAGGAGCAGTCGAAGGCGTGCCGCTGCTGGCTGCGCGCGGGGGAATAGGGGTGCCGAGGCTCAGAGTGTCCACCTGCCCGGCCCCCTGGTGCCTTGCTCTTCGGGCTTCAGCCTGGAGGAGGGTTCTGGGTGGGGGCTGGGGGCCAGCTGGGCCAACTGGCCAGAGAGGGAGAGAGGCAATCACTCCCTGGAGTCTGCCGTGGGAAGCTGGAGGAGCCTGCTCGGTGTGCCCGACTCCTTGCTTCTGGTCGGCCCTGTCCATCCTGCCACCCTCCCTGCCCTGCTGATATGCCCACTGGGACCCAAGAAGAGCAGGTGCAGCAGCCAGGCCTTCTAGCTCTCCTTGGGCGAGACTGGAAGTGCCACTCGACTCCTGTTCTTCTGGGACCCCGGCCTGGCTGCGCAGAGTTCAATGGCGGGCGGGAGCCAGTCAGAGGGACAGAGAGGGGGGGCAGGGAGGACAGTGCGGTGAGGGGCGGGCTGCGGACAGGGGCTTGTGCGCACACTCGGCTGTGTGCGGCAGTCACAGGTTCTGGCAGCACTGCAGCTTGTTGGGCTTCTGTCCGTCGGTGGTGGGCGGCACGCTGATGTCCACCACGTTGTTGCCGGGCGATTCGTCATGGGCTGCACGGTCTGCGATCTGCTTCTGTGACACGATGCGGTAGATCTCTGCCAGAGGGGGGTGTGGGGTGAGTGCACAGCGTGCCCCTGCCTTCGGAGGCCTCGGCCTTTCAGGCTCTACCTGAACATCACCATGTCACCACTTCTGCAAGTGCCCGCCATGCCAGAGCCCCTGGCAAAGGCCCCACCGTGCCCTGCAACCCCCCATCATGCTGGGGAAGCCCTGGCAGGGGCTGAGCTCCTGGAGCTTCCCGTCCACTAGCTCAACGCTGGCTGTGAACTCAGCAAGGGCAGGCCCCGCTCTGGCGACGTGCCCTCTGTTTCAGTTCTCCTAGCTCCACAATCAGAAACTCTCCTCCTTCAGGAGCAAACTCCAGAAGGTCTAGCAGCTCTGGGCCCGAGACCTGCCTTCCCCCTGATGCAGACTGTTCTGGGGTGGGGGGGGGGGGCGGGGGCCGGCATCACAGCAGGGTCCACTTACAGGAGCTGGGGGCCGAATGCCAGCAGGGGCAGGATCTAGCCCGACCCCATGATCACGCTACATCTGTCCCTGTTCCTAAACCCCCCTCAGCAGGCCTGCCGGGGTTACCATGGCCCCAGAGAGGCCCTATAACCACCTGTAAGGATGTTCTTGAAAGCTTCCTCTACATTGGTGGAATCCAAGGCTGAGGTCTCAATGAAGGACAAGTTGTTCTTCTCTGGAACAGAAAGACATTGCCAGGTAAGCAGGAGGGTTTCCCTGTACCCTCTCAGAGAACCTGCCTGTCTGCCTGCTCACCGGGCTGGAGTCAAAGGGGTGGGACCGGGATGCCCACTCCTCAAGGGGCCAGAGTTGGTGCTGTGACCTTGGTACAGTCACAAAAGATGAGAGGGAATTGGGGGGTGGGGCTACCTGTCCTCCAGATGCTTCTCTGACGCCTCAGTTGGTCCACTCTCAGGAATGCGGGCCCTGGGGTCACAGCCTGGGTCTGGCAATCCCCTGCCCGCTTCCTCCAGCCCAGTACTGCTCACCTGCAAAGGCTCGGGCCTCGTCGGTGGGCACAGCCCGCAGGTGGCGCAGGTCGCTCTTGTTGCCCACCAGCATGATGACGATGTTGCTGTCAGCGTGGTCCCGCAGCTCCTTCAGCCAGCGTTCCACGTTCTCATACGTCAGGTGCTTGGCGATGTCATATACCAGCAGTGCGCCCACAGCGCCGCGGTAGTACCTGTGGACACAGGCGGGCAAGAGCCACATCAGCACGCACGGGGCCTTCTGGGTTCTGTGGCAGAGCCGCTCCCCAATCCATTCCCAGGCCCATCCTGGTGCTGAGGGAGCAGGGTGTGTCCTGATGTCTGGACGCTGCTCCCCAGGTTGAGCTTAGCTCTACAGGGGGCTAAAAAAGGAGGGGAACTGAGGGGACAGCGGGGCTGGGAGCAGGCAGTGTGGAGTGACCCACGTCAGGCCTGGGGTGACAGTCCTTGCCGTGAAACCAGCACTCACGGGGACCAAAGTGCCTCAGGGAGGACTCGGGGCTCAAAGGGGCCATGGTACATGCCCACACTGGTCACAGCGTGGCCAACAGCACCTGAGGGTCACACACTAGCAGCTCACTCCAGGCTCCCTGCAGAGGTGCCCAAGAGAACAGCTGTGCTCCCACCCTGGGAGTGCGCGCCCACTTCCCCTGCTGAGCTCCTACTTATCCTCTGGACCCACCAGCCTCACGCCCCCAGCCCCCGCGGCCCACTCACGCAGAGGTGATGGCGCGGTAGCGCTCCTGGCCTGCGGTGTCCCAGATCTGTGCTTTGATGGTCTTGCCGTCCACCTGGATGCTGCGGGTGGCGAACTCCACGCCAATGGTGCTCTTGCTCTCCAGGTTGAACTCGTTGCGGGTGAAGCGGGACAGCAGGTTGCTCTTCCCCACGCCCGAGTCCCCGATGAGCACCACTTTGGGGGCAGGAAGGGGTATCGGTGAGGATCCATAGGCCAGAGTGGGGCAGAACCCCGAAGCAAGACCCCACGTCTGCCCATGGAATCTTCCAGCCGCCTCTCAAGCACTGTGCAAACGTGAGTACCGCAGGCAGGTGGCGTGAAGCTGCCTGAGGCCCCACGCTGCCGTGGAGGAGGATGGAAAGAACCGCTGTGCTGCACCACCGTCCCGCCGGCCTCTGGGCCTTCAGAGCAGGGCTTTGCAGCTGGGGCACGGGGCACAGGACCCAGCAGGCCGGTCCCCTGTTCACCTGGTTCTCAGGCATTGGGCAACCTTGGGCAGGTCACTTCACCTTGCTGGGCTGCCTGTTCCACGTGAGTGAATTAGACATTAAGGAGGAGCCGCATCCGGGGCAGATGAGGGCCCAGCCAGCACTCAGCGCACCTTAGCATGGGTTCCCGTTTCTACTGCTCCACCCTCTTACTCACAAGGGTCTATCTCCAGTGCTCACCCCCTGCCCCCCAGCTGCTCCCGGGAACGCTGTCGTAAGCAAACCCGCTTCAGTCTGCCACCTAGTGAAGAACAGGAATGTGAGGCCTCCCTGGCGGCGCAGGCAGTTGAGCGCCGCACTGTGAAGCTGTCCGCGGCCTCTGCAGTGCAGGTTCGATCCCTGTTGGCTGGCGAGAATCCCACACGGCGAAGCAGACCTCTCCTGTCTCACTCGCTGCTCCCCTCAGCAGTGTATTTCATCAGTCTGCCTGTTCTGTTCCCCGCTCTGTCTCTGGTGAGTCCTCTCACCCTCCCATGCATCTGGCCTGCACCCCAGCTCTTGTAGAAATAAATAAATCTTTAAAAAAAAAAAAAAAAGAACAGGAATGTGCTCTCTGGATGAGAGCAGGAAGGGACTACGCCTGCCACCGCTCCCCCATCGCCCGCACCCCCAGGGCCGGATCAAGACAAGGGCCTCCCCAGAGGAGAGCAGGTGGGTCCTTCCCTTTATCCAGTTTCCTGCCCCGCCCCCCTCACTGGAGCCCTGGCTCTAGGGGCCCAGACTCTGGGGTAAGAGGATGTGAGATGGTTCAGGAGGGGCCTGGGCTCAGGCAGGCTGTCCCCAGACCCAGGACACATGGAGACATGTCTGTGTATGTGCACGTGGGTGTGTACATGTGGGTGTGCGCGCGGCACAGATGAAATAACACACAGCCACCTGACCAGACGCCTCAGCAGGACACCACATGCGCCAGCAGTAGGCGTGCCCCGGCTCCTGGCGCCTGAGTGGGCCTGCCTGGAGCCTGCAGCCCTGGTCACCCATGGCCCCGATGAAGTTTCTCCTTGTGAAGAGGGAAGGCAGGGAGGGGGTGGGTGCGCACCACCCTTCCTGCCACTTCTTACCACCTGTGCTGCTCCGGGCCCAGCCCAGGCTGCAGCCATCTCTCCCTGGGTGGCTGTGCCAGCTTCCTCCCTGGTGTCCCTGAGTTACCCTCCTCCCCGTCCAACAGGCTGTTCCCCTCCTGGCAGCCAGAGGGCACCTGTGAGCACCTGAGTCAGGTCCTACCCCTCCTCTGCTCCCCAACTCTGCCCCCCTCCTCCCGGGCTCCCACATCCCTCAGGAAAAAGCCAAGTCCTCCCTGAGGCCGGTAAGGCCCAGCTCAACCTGCCCTGTCACCTCCCTTGCCTCGCCTTCTCCCCCTCTCCTCTTGGCAGGCCGCCTCCGTGGGACTTGAAGTTGCAGGGACATGCGCAGGCTCACTCTCATCTCCTGCCTGTGCTTCCTCCAGGGGCACTTGATCAAGGTCTGCCCTGTTACCCCCTTAAGCCCCACTCCCTCAACGCTTCCCACCCCCTCCCTGCCTTCCCTCTAGAGTGCTCACCAACCTTTCACACTCACCACCCTTCGCTTATTTGTTTTCTGCCAGGCTGCCTTGAGGGTGGCATCTCAGACAATGCTGTTCCCTGCCCTGGCATGTCCCTGGCACAAAACACCCATCAAGATCAAGACCTGTTGGGCCTACCCAGTGGCGCAGCGGGTTGAGCACAGCGCTGTGAAGTTGTCCGCAGCCTTTGCAGCGTGGGTTCGATTCCCGGCTGGCCAGGGAGAGTCCCACATGGTGCAGCAGACCTCTCCTGTCTCCCCACTGCTCCCCCAGCAGTGTATTTCAGTCAATCTGCCTGTTCTGTTCCCCGCTCTTGTCTCTGGTGAATCCTCTCACCCTCCTGCGCCTCTGGCCTGTACCCCAGCTCTTGTATAAATAAATAAAATCTGTTGACAAACAAAGCCAAAGCAACTGGCAAGGCCACCCAGGCCCAGCTGTCCCCACACCAGCAGCAGGTGAGGAGGGCGTCGACAAGCAGCCCCCACCTCCCAGCACCGCCTCTGGCCTGGCTGTTTTAGAACCAAGAGTGATAAGAAGATCTGGTAAGCGTGTGCTGGGAACCCTTGAACACACATGACTTCACAAGGCCTGACTCTACCCATGTTACAGATGAGGAAACTGAGGCCCAGACAAGAGAAACGTGAGCCCAAGGCACCAGGTGAGTGGGACAGAGCAGAAGAGGGCTCTGAGGCCTGGCGCGTCTGCAGGCTGGCTCCCACCTCCCGACCACGCTCACCAAGCAGTGACTCCCTGGGCCGCCTGGCTGGGAGGTGGCTCTGGCAGACTTGAGCTGGGTCCCACGCTGAGCCCAGGGGTCTTGGTTCAGCCTCCTCCTCTCCCACTACCTGGGACATCCTAACCCCTAGGGAGGCTGGCGAACTCCTGTTCACCCTTCAAACTTCAGTTCAGGCCTCTCCTCTCCCTCTAGACGACCACTGGCCTGGCCCCCAGGTTCATGATAACAGGCCGAGTGTCCTCTCGTGCCTAACCTAAGACTGCCAAGGTAACTTTGGAGCAAGGTGCAGAGAGGAAGACGGACATGGGCCTGCAGCCCAGGGCAAAGGGCTTCCAGCCGTGTCGGCAGGGCCACTAGTCAGCTCCTGGGCCACGGGGACTGACTGTGGGGCCCACAACCACAGCACCCCTTTCCACGGCAGCCCCAGGCTGGAGCAATTTGCTTACAGTTCGCACAAGCTCAGGAACCGAAGAGGAAATAAAGAGGATGCCCTTCCGGCCCTGCCCTGTTCCTGCTACCCCTTTCTTTCCTTCCCAGCCTCGTCTCAGCTGCAAGGCTCAGGGGCCCTGAGCCCCACTGGTTCCAGGCTCTGCCCTGGCCTAGCTAACACTCTCCTCAGCCCTCTGCTGGGCCCAGCCATGAAGTCTCTGCTGAGTAAGTTCTCAGGATCACCCCAGGGACAAATGCTCACATTACCACCTCCATTGTTCAGCTGGGGACAAAGCCCAGAGTCCCTAGCTCCAAATCCCTAGCCCAAGGTCACCGAGTAGTAACAACAGAGACCAGAGCAGGACGAAGGCCACCAGCCACTGTCCAAATGACTGTCGGGAAGGCCGGGCTGTCCGAGCAGGTTCGGGCACATGGTGCCCGATGCAGAGGTAAGCGGCAGGGTAGCAGCTAGGCTGGCCAGGGCGGGCTGGGAATGAGAACAGCTTTGTGGACGGCACAAGTGACCTGTTGTCTTGGGGAAATAAAGGGCCCTTGAGGACATGGGCCCCAGCATTTCCACAGAAGTTGGTGCCACCACTGCCCGGGAAATGGCTGCCCAGGACATGCTACTTGGCTGGCAGAACAGGCAAGCCTAGTTGGCAAAAACAAAGAGCTGGCACCTCTTGAAAGTCTTGGGTTCTCTGATCTACAGCGTGACTGTGTGGTGGCCCTGGAGTCCTCACTCTGACACTCACATGGACTAAGTGACCGTTCGGGGGGTCTGGCTCCCTTCCCTCAGGAAGCCAGCTCTGGCCAGCCCTGGGGGACCAGCCCTGGGGGACAAGCTTGCTAGACCTATTCCCTAGGGACCAGAGGGCAGAGAAGGGCCCAAAGCCAGGTGAGAAGAGGGACCCCAAGCACAAAGGAGGAAATTGGTGTGATGGGTCCTGGACCAGGCCCGGGGGGCGGAGGGGCCTGTCCAGGCTAGAATGAATGGAAGCTGCCCCAGGAGCAGCCAGCAGAGGGGCCTTACCCTGGGCTGCTGTTCCCTGGGAGCCAGGAACCACTGTCTCCTCACCCCCATTCCCAGACATACTCCTAAATGGGGCAGGGGTAGCACAGGCCGGGGAACAGGGCCCTCCGCCACTGCGCAGTTTCCCACATGAAACAAGTTCTAGAGGGCCAGGCAAATGGCCCTCCATAAGGCCCATGACCCTTGGGGACACAGCTGCAGTCACTGTGGAACCCACAGTCCGGTCATATCAGGGGAAAGGTTGGGTGCCCCCAGGAATCGATGGGCAGGTTGGTAAACAGACATGACTGATAAGATGAAGTGTTAGCAGGATAAATGTAAGACTCTATAATTAGGAGCAGATAAACAGCCTCCCTCCCGGGGGAGGGGAGCGTGTGCAAGGAGGGAAATAAACAGCACTGGGGAAAACACCAGGGGGATCTGCTGGCCTTGGCTATAGAGGCTGGGGGAGCCAAGTGTGACGCCAAAAAAAACAAAGCAGTGGTGGGAAGACTGGGCAGCAGGCCCCAGGGTCCCAAGTGAAAGGTGTGGCCTCTCCGTGCCCAGGGCAGGTCCAGGGGACAGTGACCAGAGCCTGGGGGAGGCTGGGCCCGGGGATTGGGGAAGGGAAGGACCACGTGTGAAGGGGCCCCCACCAGGTGGCAGAACCAGGGTTGGGTGTTGCATGGTGAGAAAAGTTGGCATAGTCGTGCCTTGGTCACCTCTGTGATGCCAGGCTGACCCTCTGCAGGCCACAGGGTCTCCAGCACAGGGTGTGGCGCAGTCAAGATACTGTTACCCATGGTATTTATAGTAAGTAACATGCTTGTGTGTCTGCTGGCTTCCTTCCTTCCTTCCTTCCCAGGTAGGTTTCTGTTTCCTAGTTAAGTGGATTTAAAAACAAGTATTAAAAACAAGGGGCCAGGGGGCCTCCCTGGTGGCGCAGCGGTTGAGCACTGGGCTGAGAAGCTGCCCGCAGCCTTTGCAGCACCGGTTCGATCCCCAGCTGCCGGCGAGGGTCCCACATGGCACACAGACCTCTCCTGCCGCGCTCGCTGCTCCCCTCAGCAGTGTATTTTGTCAGTCTGCCTGTTCTGTTCCCCGCTCTGGCTCTGGTGAATTCTCTCACCCTCCCGCACTTCTGACTGTACCCAGTGCTTGTATAAATAATAATAATATTTAAATATAAATATTATATAATATAAAATATAATATAATATAAAATATTATATTATATAATATAATAATATAAATAAATAAATCTTTTTTAAAAAAATAAGGGGGAGGGAAGACGTCCACAGGTGTGTGAGCTGAGACCTGGGATCACCAAGTTCAAGACATGCTGACCTTGTGGGTTAGACTTTCACTACCAATCAGCTTGAGGTCAGCAGATTACCTGATTAACCCAGAAAAAGGGGTTTGTGGGGGAGGGTAGTGGGGTAACCAATAATCCCCCAATGCCAGTTGCTGCAGAAGCCTGCTCGATGCTTCCAGAAAGCAGACTCTGGAGATGAATCCTAGGAAGCTCACAGCTGCTCCACTGCCCCTGACCCAGTAACTGTACTTCTGGGAATAACTTCAAGGAAATAACCCAAAGGGCAACAATATGACTTGTGTAAACCCTGGAGCTGAGTTATTTATAACATCAAATGGTTGAAAATAACAAACGGGGAATGACCACAGAAACTCGGAGGTGGAGGATGGGGCGGGGGCACATCCCTGCCCTGGCAGCGCTGCCCAGGAACAGCGGGCACCACAGGCTGAGTAAGACAGGCACTGGCGGCAACAGGAATGGAGGCCAGTCCACCTGTCAGCAGCTTCTGAAGCTTCCTCTGCCTTTACGGTGAGACCCCAAGGCCCAGCTGGCACCAAGACCGTGGGCCTGATGCCCATCGACCACACAGCCTCACCTGGCAGCAACATACCAGCCTACATGCAGCTCCCAAAGCCCACAGTGCTGAGCAACAAACCTGGCCTTTGCATGGGCCCTCCCTCTGCCTGGAAGCCTTTCGCCACGAGGATATGCCAGGTAGGGGGTACTCCATAGGTCCCTAGGTCCCTGGTCCCAAGCTGCTGGATGATACATGCCAGGCAAGGACAGCTCCAGATACTGAACACACTCCCAGGGATTGCTGGCTTCCCCAATGAAGGGATGAAGCCAAAGCCTGAAATGGGAGGGAGACCCTCACACAGCTGGCAACAGGGCAAATATGTCCCATGTGGGCTCAGGGGTTAGCTCTCAAGGGCAGCCACTGTCAGCCAAGAGGCCGGCATGGACAGCAAAGAACCTGGACAAAGCCCAGCTTGGCACGGAAGGCACTGTAAGCCATCGAACCCTTAACTGTTTCCAGCTTAAGGGTCAGGATTAGGAGCCTCCCCGGTGGCCCCAGGCATGCAATGGCTGCCTGGCTGCCTAGCCCTTCCCTGATGCTGTTCCTCCAGCAGGCTGCAGAGGCCCAGGCCCGCCAGGGCACGTGTAGGGAAGGTGGTCTGACAAGCAAGCCCTGGCCTCCAGCTCCCCCAGATACACTCCTTAAGCCCCCTGGCCTGGGTGCAAACACGGCTCCAACACTTAGTAACTGTCCCTGCCTCTCTGGGCCTTAGTTTCCAGGTCTATGAAGACACGACGGGTAATACCGACCCAACAAGGACTGGCGAGGCCGCAGCGAGCTCGCGCGTGCGGTGCTCAGGAACGCGCCGATATCCCAACAATGCTACTAGTAACCCCCAGCCTGAGCCCAGCATACTCAGTGCCCCGCCCCCAGGTGCCCCTCCCCTGCCCCAACTTCTGCTGTGCACGCCAATCCAGGGTCCCCCATTACACGCTTCCCCTCCACTCCCCCAACTTTTGCAGCACACGCCGATCCCGGGTTCCCCCCGCCCCCCACGACCCCTGCACGACTCCGCCCCAGACGCGCGGCCACCAATCAGCCATGGCCCCGCCCACCTCATAAAGCACCGTCCCCATTCGCCCAGCCCACACCTCGGCCACGCCCACCAGGTCCTAGCCCCGCCCCTAACGGCCTCGCCCCCACACCAACGGAGCGTTCCACGCAATCCGGCCCGCCAAATACAAGGGGCCCCGCCCCCCGAGGCCCCGCCCCTAACGGCCTCTCCCACCGCTCAGGCCCCGCCTTCCCTCGGCCCCCGCCCCGCCCCGACTCGTCCCGGGCCTCTAGCTCCGTCCGGGCCGCCCGCGCCTCACGGCCGCACGCTCCCGCCTGGGGCCGACGGAGCCCGGCCTGCCCCAGCCTTCCCGGCCGCCTGGCGCTCCGGGGCCCAAGCCCGGGCTCCCGCTGGGCCCAGCGGCCGGGCCGGGGCCTCGGCCACACTGCGGGGCGCCTCGTAGCTGCGCCCCCGCCCGCCCACGCCCACGGGCCTCACCTTTGAATAGGTAGTCGTACTCGTCGTCCCGGGTCCCCATTGTCCTGGCGCTTCCGGCGGGATCGGCGACTCCGCAGCCCCACCACAAACACCCGACGGGGGCGGAGCCGGCGCCGCGCAGAGCGGCGGCCAGAGGACCAATCAACGGCGGGTGGCGTAGAGACCGGCACTCAGAGGAGCCAATCAAAGGCGGAAGCTGAGGCCCCGGGGTGGGCGCCTCCTGGGATCCACCCTCCTGGCCCTCGAGCTCCTGGAGAAAGGCGGAAGGAATGCGGACCTTTCTGATGTGACAGACGAGCCAGCCAATCAGAGGCGGACTCAGGAAGACGAAGCGACAGACTGGCGGAATGAAAGGGATTGATGGCGCGAGTAGCCAATGAGAGGCGGGATTCAAACTCTAGCCGACGATCGGAGGACCTGTCCGGGAAGAGACTTAGGACTACGTCCAGGTGATGCTACGCTGTTCAACGTCCTGATGATGTCATAGGTCAACGCGCGCTGCTTGCCCATCCACCCTTACGTGACTTTTGTGGGGTTGGGGGGCGGCGGGGCGGGTAGAGCGGCCTCCGGCCGGGCCTCTCTACCCAGAGATTACCTGTCTCTCGGTTGTGGCTTCTGACCTTGCCCCGTGACTCCCTCGGGCACCCCTTGGCCTCAGTTTCCCGCCCCGTGTAACAGGAAGGCAGCTCGGCCATGGCTCCTGTAGAGGCTAGCCAGAGCATTCCTCACGTGCATAATAAATCCACCGCCCGCCTTCTGACATTCAGTCTGTGTTTAACAAATATTTGTACATCCCCAGCCAGCATAACGGCCTGGCCGAAGCCCTGGGCCTCCGTCTCTCTCCAACAAAATCTCCCCTGTCTGTTCGCAGCGCTCACCCATTGGACTTATAACTTATTGTGTTTCTTTCTTGACCTCTTCGTCTGTGTAGCTTCTGTCCCCCATCAACAGACCATCTGTCCCAAGAGAACAGGGACCATGTCTTATCACAGTCACTGCGGTGCTCCCAGTGCTCAATAAATATTTGATGAGTAATGTAAGCTTAGAGCTCATGTGCTAGTTATGATAATTATTATCGCCTCCTGGACCTCATCCCTGGGATAGCCATCAGGCATCCCAGACACAGATTTCGCCTCTTCCCCACATCCACTCTTTCGCTGTCTCCACCCCCTACCCCATAATCAACGTGCAGATCTTGACTCTTGTCCTTTACTCCCTTGCCCTCTTTGAGTGTTCTCATCCTGTCCCTCCTCCCTTTCAAGTTGCTGCCACTTCTCACCCCCTCTACTACAGCCATCCCAGTCCTGGTCCCCATCAATACGCCCTGTAGCTGCTGCTCCCAAATTTCCCTTCTCTGCTCTCACTCCCACCCCTCCTCTCAGTCTGTTCTCCCACAGCAAAGGAGTCTTTTAAAACGTAAGTCAGATAATCTCACTCCTGTTTAGACCTTTATCAGTTACTGGACACGTGCGGTGTCCCAGGTGACACTGTAGGTGCTGGGGGGATTCAGCAGGCAGCAAGTGAACAACGACAGACACAAGATAATTTCAGAGTGGGAAGCGTGTAGTGAGGGTGCCATGTGCACAACTGAGGCTAGGTAATGGAGGAGTTACTTAAGGGAACCCGGGAAGGCATCTTGGAAGAGGTGGCATTAGCACTGAGTCTGTGGGAGTCTGAGGAGGTGGTGGGAAGAACATTTTAGACCAACAAAACAGTGAGTGACGGAGAGAGCACAGTGGGTCAGAACAGCTGGGAAGCTGTGAATATATTGTAAAATTTTCTGCCTCCCTCCCTTCCCTGGTCTAGCATGCAAGAGGGCAAAGCCAACTGCATAGATGAAGCCTAAATAGGCTCCCTTCCTGTAGCCTTTGCTGGAATCTGCTACCTGGAGATAAAGCCAGTCTTCTCCCACACACTGATGACGAAGGAGCCAGATGAAGAAGATTTAATAATGGCCACCCAGCCTTTGCATCTTTACAGGGCATTGGAAAGGAACAGATTAAATCCTTCATTTTCTTCCTCCAGCATCAGGGTATCTTTAGGTCTGGACGGATTAGAACTGGAAGCCCTCCTGTGAAGATTACATTCTTAATGTCAGTGACTCACTGTCCTACCTGTATAGACTAAATTCAAACTTGTGTTTATTGGAACAGCTCTCAGAGAAAAATCTGCTGGACTGCTCCCCAGATTCAAATTCTCACCTTGGTTATCTAATAAACTCTTTTTGTCATTGAGCCTTTATTTCCAGTTCACAAAACTATGGTGGTTACAGAGTGGGCTCCTAAAGAGACAGCCTGGGTAAAGGAAATGGCCAGCTGGTAGGATGAGTTGTTCTAGCCCTGTTCAAACAGTTGAACTAGGCCATGGACTGGAGACCCCTGTCCAAGCAATTCAGCCACCACACCGACCATGATGGATAAAAAGCAATAGATCCTGACCAGTGATCAGGTCACAGTTTCCTTGAGGGAGAAAGCTGAGCCCACTGAGCAGTTGAATGTAACCCATCTGTGCATGCCCCACCCAGCCCAGAACAAACTGTGAGGCTGCACCCCCCTCCTGCCCCCTGGACCTCCCCTTGCAAGGTCTCCTAACCCCCTCGGGGGAGCCAGGTCCCACTCTCCTTTCCCAAACCAGCTCCCTCGTGCACAAGTCTCTAATAAAGCCTTGTCTGGTTAAACTGCAACTAGAGCTTGTTGGTGAATTCTTTCCCTAGAGGGCAAAGGACCCACTTTGTTGGGGTGAGGCCTATAACACAAGGAACCAGAGATGAGATTGACAAAAAGGTGAGGCTGGAAGCAAGGCCAGGGAGGATACTCTGGCACTATTGACTAGAAGCCCAGCACACTCCAACTATCACTTCCCACCTCACCCCACCGCCCAGCGTGGTTCATGGTATAATAGTATTGGAGATGAGGCTAACTTATATAGTGTGCTCATTTTGAGCCACACACTGTGCCAAGCGTTTTTGCAAAAAGCTGCGTGAAATCCTCACAGAACAGGAAGGAGGGTGGGGGTGGGTTGGTCGAGCAGCAAACCCACCCCCATTTTGCAGATATACATACTGAGGTCACAAGTCCAATGGCCTGTTCCCAATCACCAGGGAGAGAAAGCTGTTTAAGAGCTCAGGCTCTGGAGTTGGGATGGTTCTGCAGTCATATCCTAGTTCTGGTTGGTTCGCAACCATGGTGGTTATTCTTTATGTTGTGGCCCAGGATTGGAGGGGTGGGAGATGCAGCATTGGGAAGGGGGAGTGATGGCAGGAGAGGGTACCAGGTCCATGAGAATAGCACTCAGCAAAGCTTGAGAGCTGAGGGCATAGCTGGGAGACACCCTAACACTGCGAGCTGAATTCCCATTAGTTCCAGCCTCCATGGGCTCAAGAGATACTCTCCAAGCCTGACTGATACAGGACACCCCCAAAAAGGAGCCTGGAGAGGATCTGACCTTCAATACTAAGGAGGACCTGAGAGAAGCATCTTTCAGAAAGAGTGACAAGGAAACATGTAGAAGGAGTATTTGAAAGATCGATTCCTCTATTAAGAGAGTAGCTGTGACTAGGGCACAAGCAGATGCTATTTTTCCCAACACATGTCCTGGAGACAAGGGGCCACTAGCCATATTGTTACGGAGCAGGGAGAGGGGCACCCCAGGGCCCCCAAACCTGCCCTCTCTAAATAGGTTCTGTCATCCATCGCATCAAGACAAGACATATAAGACCTTTAATGGAAAGGAACTCTAATACAATTAGTGTGCGATACAGAGAAGACAAAGAATGTAGTTTCCAAATCAAGCACCCGAAGTTACCCATCCCCTCATGGATAACTGTCCAGCCAAACAAGGCTGGCCTGAAGCAAGGCCTGAGAGCCTGCCGTAGCCTAAAGCACCTTCCAGCGGGGATCCATAAAAAAGGGTCAGAAACAGCCAGACAAGTCTGGGAAGAAAAGAGCAAAATTAAAATCAAGATCTATGCGACCATCGTTAACCTCCCCATGGTCTCTCTCCCACATCTGTTTCAACCAGTCCAGGACCAAGAAGCAAGTGCAGCTTCTTCACGTGTCTCTCTGCTTCATGGGCCTCCTCCAAGCCTCCTTCTGGCTCCATCCTTCCTCCTCCCTTCCTCAGTCTCCTCTCCAGCTGCTTCTCCTCCGTGCTCAGCTCCACCCTCCCTTGGGAGGGGCAGGGAACCTGGAACCTCCCCTTTTCCTGGGGACCACCCTATTACAGGATGACCTGGGGATAATTTTAGGGGGTGCATTAAATAATGTTGAACCACATACTGAGAAAGTCCTACCTCTTTTCTGCTGCACCTCCCCCTGCAGTGACCCTCAGGGCTAATGGCTGTTGCCATGGTCCCTGAGGTCCGGCGTGGGCAAGGAACCATGCGCGCAGGGGGAGAACAGCAAACTCCCTAAGATGCAGAGAAGCCGAATGCCTGCCAAGAGATAACAACCACCAGAAGCTGCCACAAAGATGATTAAAAGAAATGCTGACCACCTGAAACCTTATCTCGCTTTCTCAAGGCCCATAAACTTTATTCTGCTACAACTGTCTCTCTAAAATCTTTCCTTTTTCTGGTCATTGATTGCTAATTAAAAAGCATACGTAATTTAATAATTAGGCCAATGCAAATGAAACATTACTAAACACTGTGTTATAATAGAATTGTAGTTTAATAATCTTTCTATTATGTGCTTGACTTTAGTACCTTTGATATTAACTGCATTATAATATAAATTCACCCATGACAATTAATTATGAATAAACATGAGTAAGTAGTAGTAGTAGTAGTAATTAGTACAACAAAAATATAAGAAAGAGTTAATAGCCTGTCTACTTAGGAATGTGGCTAGGTCCAGATGTATTTTGGACATAAATCACTGCCCTGTCAATGATAAGCTAAACCTATGAGCAAGCTGATTTCTTTGATGTTCACCGATCCTATGCCTTTAAAAAAAACATATATACTGGCCACTAACAAAAATAAAGCGCACTCAGATTTACACTCTCTCTTTTTTTTTTTTTTTTTAAACAAACTTTATTTTTTTATTTTTATTTATTTTTTTTTATAGAGGCATGTTTTTATTTATTTATTTATTTATTATATTTGTTTGTTTTGTTTATACATGCACTGGGTACAGTCA